CCACCTGGTTCGCCAAGGCGTGAATAGAAGAGTTCACCTACCAAAGGGAAACAAGGGATCAAAGGAACGAATAGAAGAATAAAGGCCGAAGAACTCTAAAGAAGGGAGCACTTACCACCATGGCATGGGTAACGGCACGGCAGGCCACTTGGTGCAAAGGGAACTCGGTCCACGCCACGACTTCCTCGGGAAACATGGCCTCCTTACTCCATTGAAGAGCGTGAATAGGCGACAGCACACTCCTGAAGTCCCTCGGGGCCTCCATGAATTGGGCAATTTGTTTTTTAGTAAGTTTTAAAATATATGGATTTATATTATTAAAAGTATTAGACATAGATCTAATTAACAACATTCATTAATGAAAAAATAACTTAAATATGAGAGTTAATACCTTAAATACAAGAGTTAATGAAAGAGTATTAAATGAAATATAAAACATTAATTGAATTATATTTTTAACATGTATAATTAAAGATGAATTAAATAACAAATATAAACATTTTAGTCAAGAAAAATTCTACACCCTAATTCTTACCTTTTATAATATTATCGATATAGATATAGATTAGGATTAATTGAAGGTGAATTAAGCATTGGTGCAAGGCCTATGCACAGTTTATGATCGAATAGGGTGTTATTAGCGGTTGCACAACCCCTAATATATCTGGGGTTGTGCAAGACCACTACAGACTACAGTCAGCCAACCATAAGACCCTACACCCGCACATGAGAAACATCTCTCCATAGCTGAGCTCATGGGTGGTCAGCATCCTTCTACTCAGCAAATCCTAATTAAAGACGGGGAGAGTTTTCTCTTTGGGTCGGTGCAATCTGAGCCTGAATTGACCCAAGAGGCCAAGCTTTAATTTTGCACCGGGGTTTGTTTTTTCAATTCTACGAAACTGTTTGATGAAATCGAATTTGATGCACACGCCGTGTTCTCACATCCCTTTCCAGCCGTACGTTCAGAATATCTCATGAGATAGTTTCAAATGTACGGCTAAAAAAAGACTGTAAAAATGGTGTCAGCACAATTCTGTAAGCACTGAATCCGCCCTTCTGGTTGATACGTGTGGGATGAACCCGTTATGAGATGCAGGGTGGCGGCCGCGCGCATGCTCTAACCACGCGCCGCTTGAATTACTTTCTTTCATAAACAAATGATTCAGTTATAGGCTTTGTAGTAGCAATCATGACCGCGAGTAGCTGCACAATAAAGTGATCGTACCGACAGTACGGATAGTCTAACCCCAGTCTTACACGTGTCAATTGGGGCCACCCTGATTGTATGCTTCGCGAATCACTGAGCGGCGCTGTACCCTGAGCCCCACCTTCTTCAACATCGATTTCAATTTCAAGGCGAAAAAGCTAGTCCCACGCATTCGAATGCGCGACACCACTAACGGCAGACAGCCAGACACCACTAACGGGGATTAAGCCCATTCGCGCGTCCTCCGAATGCGCGAACGGTGCGCGGACAAAACGTGCCTGGACTGAAGCCGAATTCCACGCATTCATGCTTGCAGAAAGACACGTGACGCTTGATTAATACATTAGTGATTCATATATTCTTGAATTTTGAATCCACTTCTGTACATCTCTATTCTCAAGATGGCCCGGCATATGATGATGATGATTCGTCTCATATCCTGCGGTTCCCCTACTCTCCCTTTATGCCCTTGTAGGCCCCTCTTGAATAAAACAGCACGTGTTCTATTACGAGAGAATCTGGGCCCATCTCTGGTTTGGATTAATACATCCCATTCGTTACAACTTACAAGTGGTTTATCCTCTTATCCCTTTCTCTTTCAGGCCCTTGGTGACCATGGATTAGTGACACCCCCCGCCCCCCAACCAAATATCCTGGTTCAAACCGACCCTTAATTTAACCGGGTCGGGTTATCCATTATCATTCTTTTTTGGTAGGACCGTAGGAGTTCATTCATCATCAATTGAGCGCCCTGTGGGAGCCTCAAGTGCAGCGGTTTCTAGCTTTTCAACGTCACTCGGTATCTGCTACCCACACATTGTTCCCATACCTATCCATAGAGTATCACCACTATGTATTGGAAACATCTTGCATGAATAACAAGTTAGATATTCCCAACGCACAGCTATAATGTTTGGTGAATAGAAATGTGAAAACAGCTCATGAATAGCAGATCCAAGCCCATTTAACCTAACACATGAACAGCAAGCTATGCTTGGTGAAAAAGCTAATTAAACATTCAGCTAAATTTGATGATGTTGATTTGAAGCATTCTAAATAATCTAATCTAATGAAGCTGAAACGGATAGGTCAAAATATGGCTGACCAGTAATAGATTTTGGCTCTCTCAATTCTTTTCAACAAACATAATTTACAATTAAACTTATTCATGATCAGGTTCGAACTTGACTTTTATTAAAATTCTAATGGAAGCCCAAATCTGCAGTGTAAACTTAAACTCGAAGCTCGGCCCATAAATAAGTCTACTTACAACTATAGGCTATCCGCATAGGGCCCACCTTGGAAACCCAAAAGCCGTTGGCTCATTTGAATCATTATCCACTACAACTAAAATTCATCTCAACCCCCGCAAACGCATCTTTAGCAGTAAGAACTCTGGCAGTCTGGCCCCGCTTTACTTTTTAGACTGGCGGGGTTTGCCTTGCCACTCGCCACTCCAGTGGTGACTGATACTAATCAGCATTCAGCAGTGTCCAAGTTTCTGAAACCAATTTGACTAAAATGCCCTTTATACTTAGAAAAACAAGAATCAAAGAGTCTTTACATACAAGATCGGTAAAAGACCGGACCATGTGATGGATTGGATGCTATGTTATGATCCCACCAAATGAGCCACTAGGGTGGGACCTACTCGGTGGCCCAATTTTTATTTTATTCTCTTCGACTGACTGATTGATTTTGATTTACAACACAATCTAAAAGAAGAGAATAAACTCAACGGCTGCGATTATCTTATCATTTTGAGTTCGACATCCAAAGAAATCTCCAGTGGGCCCGGTGCCTCGTGTGTGCGGGTTAATGTCGTCCTTATTGGTTCGTTGAAGGATTCTGTTCCCGTAAATGCTCATTATGCGATCCACCATAAAGTAGAGGGCAGAATCGTAATTGTAGTTCCCAAAGGACGGTTTCTGATTCCGAAGATGATACGATACGCAGTAAGTGGAATCAGCGCTTTACTGTATGACATTTCTGCCGTTGAGAATTCACAAAGACAGCACCTCATCATCTCGTCTTTCTTTAATTCAAGCTAAGGGAGGAGGGTTAAGCGGATCGCTCATTCGAGGACCTTTACGTCAATTGATCTAGAAGATGTACAAAATACGAAGGGTACTTTAGTCAATAAAACATCCCATTGTTTTCAGTAGGAAATTGGGATTGGGCCGGAAATACCTTGGTTTTGGGGATGTCTTATTTGTCCCGTCAGATTGGAATCCTCCAACAGTCCCCCGCTATCTCGAACATCTATATAACCACCTCCTCACACTCTTCTCCTACGCTTTCCGCTCGTCTCCTCCCTCTCCCTTTCTGTTGGGATACGCTGCACCCCTATTCCAGCGCCACCCACAATCCCCTGAAACCACCAAATCTTCACCATTTCTCTTCGTTTCTAAATCTCCCTTACCCACAAACCACGAAGATGTCGTCGGAAAACCACCTTCTGTTCCTCCCGCAAGCTTCTCATTCTTCTGTTCTAAACTTTGAAGTAGCGACCTGTGTTTTGCTCCTTGCCATCGTGTTTTCTTTCTGGCTCGCACCAGGCGGTCTTGCTTGGGCTCTTTCCAAGGCCAAGTCCCGAATAGCAATACCAGGACCATCTGGTTTTCCTCTCGTGGGTCTACTGTTTGCCTTCACAGGCTCAACGACCCATCGAGTTCTTGCTAAGCTTGCACAATGCCTCAATGCCAAACCACTTATGGCCTTCTCCGTTGGATTCACTCGTTTCATCATCTCTAGCCACCCGGAAACAGCTAAGGAAATTCTGAACAGCTCTGCTTTCGCCGACAGGCCAGTGAAGGAATCGGCCTACGAGCTTCTCTTCCACCGGGCAATGGGTTTTGCTCCGTACGGTGAGTACTGGAGAAATTTGAGGAGGATCTCGGCTACCCATATGTTCAGTCCAAAGAGGATCGCTGGTTTCGGGTCTTTTAGGAGGGAAATCGGTTCGAGAATAGTGGAGGAGATACGGGATATGATGGTGAAGAACGGGATGGTTGAGGTGAAGAAAGTGTTGCATTTTGGTTCTCTGAACAATGTGATGATGAGTGTTTTTGGGAGGACTTATGACTTCAAGGAAGGTGGAGATGGGTTTGAGCTTGAAGGGTTGGTTAGTGAAGGGTACGAGTTGCTCGGGATTTTTAACTGGAGTGATCACTTTCCTGTGCTGGGTTTGTTGGACTTGCAGGGCGTAAGGAAGAGATGCAGAAGGTTGGTTACTAAGGTCAATGCTTTTGTTAAGAACATCATAGAGGAACATAGGAGGAGGAGGGTTAACGGAGCTCTAGACGACGAAAGTGACAGAAATTTCGTCGACGTCTTGCTTGATTTGGAGAAAGAAGACAGGCTCAATGACTCTGACATGATTGCCGTTCTCTGGGTAAGATGTTACTAATTTCGTTTTTTCCTTTGATTTCGTATGATCACTCTGATTTACTATCATCTGTAATGTTTTTATCCTCATTTGGCTCTTGTTTCATGATCAAGCTATTTCGTGCATGAATCAGGATTTTAATACATATTTTTGATTTCATTATCCTGGGCATCAACAAGAGATTTCAGTTGTTTTCGTTTCAGAGCTAGGACTTGAATCTGTTTTCTAGTATTCTTTATTCATTTGATTGAAATGGTTAGTTAGGAAATTCCTTGTTCACGTTGCTTTATTAAATTATTGGAACAGTATACGGCAATAAGGTGATCGTTCATTTGAATATCTTTCAGGAAATGATATTCAGAGGGACTGATACAGTAGCAATTCTCCTGGAGTGGATTTTAGCACGAATGTTAATGCACCCAGATATCCAAGCCAAAGCCCAATCAGAGATCGATGCTGTTGTGGGAGCCACCCGATCCGTTTCAGATTCTGATCTTCCTAACCTGCCTTACCTCCAAGCCATAGTGAAGGAATCTCTCAGGATGCACCCTCCAGGTCCCCTCCTCTCCTGGGCCCGGCTCGCCGTCCACGATGTCCACATCGGTGAGTTTTTCATCCCCGCAGGAACAACAGCCATGGTGAATATGTGGGCAATAACCCACGACGAAGGAATCTGGTCGGAGCCGGCTGAGTTCAAGCCCGAGAGGTTTATGAAGGAAGAAGTGAGCATTATGGGGTCTGACTTGAGGTTGGCTCCCTTCGGCTCCGGGAGGAGGGTCTGTCCCGGCAAGGCTATGGGATTGGCTACTGTTCAACTCTGGCTTGCTCAGTTGCTTCAGAGCTTCAAATGGGCTCCTTCTGATAATGGGGTCGATCTGTCAGAGTGCTTGAAGCTTTCTCTTGAAATGAAGAACCCATTGGTCTGTGTAGCTGTGTCAAGGCTTGCTTGAAAGATGGTGTGGAGTGGTTTCTGCTATGAAGAATGAAGGAATGAATGGCTGGCCCAATTTGGTGGATTCACATAAACAGTTTTAGGGTAGATAATTAGGCTAGCACAACTTAGAGAGCCTTAGTTTGGGTTATGATGCTTTTAGGGTTTTTAAGTAGTTGGAGTACCAGCTGTCTTTTTCCTGTTCTTTTTTGTGAGGAAGATGGTTTTTTAACGGTTGAACTGTTGGTTCATCAGTTGTATACTGCTGCACTGGTCTGTGTTCATATTCTGAAATTCTATGTGATGTATCCTGCTTTTCATATGATATAAATAGGAAAAATTATATTCAGAGCTAGCAGTTTGCACAATGTTCTGTTAGGAATGGGCTGCCCTATCTTGGGTTGTCTGATTTTTCCTCTATTTTCTGTGGATCTTTTGCAATTGGCACTGTGAATTTTCATTTTGCCTTGATAATTGAAATGGGTCCCTTTTCTTGGGTGGCATTTCTATCTTCAGAGACCATAGTGGATGTTAGGTCATCTTATTCGCCTGTATTAAATTTTGAGAAAATGACTTGGTAACAACAAATTAAAGGGGTGGTGTAATTGGCCCTTTAGAAGGCAAACTGGGGAATAGATCTTGGTGAACTTGTTTGTTGTCTCCTCTCTTTTTCTTCTTTTTGTTTTGTTCACTTAACTTTGTAATCACGTAATTATCAAATGAAAAGTTGGAATAATGTGTCAAATTAGTTTCCATTTCATGCTCAACTTGGAAATGGACTAGTAAGCTTTATGCATGTTTAAAATCTTTCTGGTTTAGCCCACTAGTTTCCCAGTTTCCATCCAGCTTTAAGCTCACAACCCCTTCACCTCCATATGAGAGAGAGAGAGAGCTTTGGAATCCCAACTGATATGGGTATTAATTCAGTTTTATACGGTATAAGTAATGCAATGTATATATATATATATAGATACACCATATGAAAGAGAGAGAGAGAGAGACAGACAGAGAGAGAAAACTTTGGAATCCCAACTGATATGGTATTAATTCAGTTTATACGGTATAAGTAATGCAATAATGTATATAAATTCAGAGGAATGCTCTTTTGAGCAATGTGGGTCCTAGATTTGTATTGTGGGATTAGTACAGGCTCCTTTATCCCTAGACCAAAGAAAGCAAAGAATAGAAAGCCCCCTCCATCCTTCATCCACATTCACAACTCTCATCCATTGGCTACCTCTTTATGCTCGCATGCTTTGTGCTTCTTTATCTTTTCCATACCCTTCGAATGAAAACATGGTTATTAATTTATCAAATGAAATGGGATTCCTTAGGGTTTTTTTTTTAATTGATTATCTTTTTTAACCCTCTTAAGTGTTCTTTCGATTTCCACTTTAGGGTACAATCACCAAATGATTGAAGAATAAGAACTCAAGCCCGACTATGATATGGTTCAGCTCTTTTGTGGGGATCCAAATCCTTAGCAGAATATATTGTTGGAAGAGCTTTACCCTTAAAAGCTCTCCTCCTTTTCTTTCTTTTCCTTCATAAAGGAATGCACATAGGTGTTGAATATCCAAACTGCACTATTTTTTTATGTCCAAATATGTGCAACTTGTCTCGTTTCCTCTTTTCACTGATTCTTCTTCGCATCCTCTCTAATATTCTTTGGCTGGCTTACGTCATCAATTTCCATTTACCAATTACCCACATCCACAGGGAGATATATAGCTGATCACCCAGTTTTGGTAGACTTGGTCCATTATTAGTTCTTATATGCATGCAATCTGGGGCATGCTTTCCATCAGATTTCTCTGATGCAAAACGTTGAACCAATCAAATCTACCAAACCAGTTTCAGTTGCATCTGGTTTGGTAAAAGTAGGACGCATTTTTGGTCTGAGAGTGATAAGCTGGATATTTCTTTTGCATGGAGATGATCATGACATCTGCAAGTAACACGAAAAAGTAAAAAGCTTAAAAAGAAATATCTAGGGAATCTATGGTATTCCTTAACCATTATTTGTGCTTCAAATCTAGAGAATGCAGGTGGTCTCAATTCCACTGAGAACCAATTAGGGCTTCAAAGGGAAATCTCAATCTTTCCTCTTCTCTTTCAAGTTTTCACTTTTTTCCAATGGAGGGCAGTAATGGTCATGAGAATGATGTTAGGGATGGGATTAGTTTCAAAAAAGTGTAGAGTCAATGTTCTAAAAATCGGTAAATATAGTATGTAGCATGTGTACCTTCATAAACCTCAAGTTGCAATATGTTTCTTGGGTGGGTGAATCTTTTCACCTCTGTAGAGATGAAAATCCATGGATGTTAAGTTCTTTTTTTTTCGATTTTTTCTTCTGTCATTCTATATAAATATAATTTTATTATTTTCTCCTTTTATCTTTGGGTGCGATCATACCAGCACTAATACCAGTTTGGATTTCCTCCTAACAAATAGGGGAGATGTTCCCATTGTGCGGCTGCAACAAGCATTGAAGTGGGTGTGAGGAGGCAATCCGAATTCCACTAATATATTTGTTCTTATGAGAAGTCTGAAGTTAAACGTACTTGGGCGAGAGTAATAATAGTATGTATAACCTCTTAAAAAAAATCCACCTTTTAAAAATAATTCTATATTTTTTTTTTAATTTATTGAGTCATACTAATATCTATTTTGTTGCATCATTTCCAAAAAAAAAATAGTTTTTATTTCTAATAGGTGTGGAATATCCTTCAAATATCTAATCCATTCTCTTAAATTATCACTAGCTGAGCTTTCGTAGACCCTCTCAACAGAATTGGATCTGACTTCTGAGGACGTTAACCATCCTTAGACTAACTTGGGGCCAGGGGCAGCTCAGCAGTTACATTCCGGAAGAAGATTTTAATCCAATAGGGACGAGAAGTGCTTATTCATGTGCAATGCTGACGTAGTAGCTGACTAAGCATACACTACACTGGATGAAGCAATTCAGAGGACGTTGAACGAGTCCAACCAATGAGCTAAATATAATTTTAGTTAAGCCAACTAGCCAAAGTCACATTAAACAATAGCAAAACCCACCACACCAATAAGTTGTTCCGTGGTGAGCTGATTTGGATTAGCAAACTGAGGGATTAATAAAGAATATATGAACCAGAGGTGCAATTATATGAAGCCTTAGGTGCGCCTGCTCATCCCTAGAGCCAGGAACCTTGCCTATAGAAATCTAGAATAAATATGTGAAGGAGAAGAGGACACCTTTTAGCTTCCCTTTACCTTACAGAATTGATTAATATATCAAACAAAGCAACAGGGGCATCTCAGAAGATCATAATGGAGCAAGCCTGATTCAATTGGAAAGATGAATGGGGAAAAAAATAATAATTCAGGAAGAACACTCTACATCTATCTCGAATGGTTATGGAGAATGGAGGATGATTTGGTGATCATGACTGGTCATAGATTCTTCTGTTGTTGGATTCTTCCCCAACACTTCCAGACTGTTTGAAAATCCAAAATGTCCCCTTCTTCATAAAGACCATTCATGAAATGTAGTGGCCTACTCCCTACTGCTATTTTATCTAAACCCACCAATGTGGGTCTTCTTCCCACAGCTGATTCAGCCCAGTTGGATGGTCATCACAATATATCTTCTTATGTGACCCTCTTTTGAATGGGTCAGTCAGATAAAATATTCAATCATACTTTGTGCACTTTGTGACGATGATGGTGATGATATGGTGATGTTAATGATGACAACAACTAGAGTAACAGACTACAAAGATGTGTAACTAGTTTAGTATTACCAAGGGTACAGCCCAGAGGGAAGAGGGAAGACTCTCAAGTGTTGAGACCTCAATGCCCTACCACACTAAGGCTGCATTTGGCATTCCTTATTTTAAGGACTTATATCCTTTTTGCAGTTAAAATCTTATTTTAAGGACTTATATCTTTTTTGCAGTTAAAAATTCAATATTTTARCTGCAAAAAAGAGATAAATCCTTAAAATAAGGAATGCCAAATGCAACCTAACGTGGGTTCCACTTCCATCTAACAGAGGACATATGCCACAATCAACATGATTAGATGATTATTTATGGGTCATGCGGATATCATTGCATAAGTTCTTTGGGTAGGTGAGCCACAACAGTGACGCCTTTATGTGCCAAGGTTGCCACCATGAATCATCATCTATTCGCCACCATGAAGCACTTGTGCTACAAATAATGTAGTCGGCCCATCTTGCACTTGGCCCAACCCCATCTTTTGCACCAGTTGATCTTAAATTTTGGGCCTTATAGTGGGTCTTTGTTTGGAAAATAGAGCCTTATCCCAGTTCTTGTTGGGTTTATATTGGGTTGGGCTGGAGCTCATGTTAAGATTAATGACAGGGTGAAAAATATGAAGTCAGGTTTGGTTTAGGGTTGAGGCTTTGGGAAATCCCATCTAACTCAACGTGATATGTCTATTCATATCTGCATTTATAAACATCTGTATCCATGTACATTTATAAATATATTTGCATTTAGGGGAGCCCTGGTTGAGAACTTGATTAAATTTGAATGGGCTTGGTGGGCCTGATTTTATGTAAATCCTTCAAATCGGGAACCCAATTTAAAGAAGAAGTGAGAACATTTTCACAAGTAGAAACTACCAGGAGCGGTCCTACGATTTTTTATTGAGGGGGCCAAAACCTAGAAAACATGGATAGAGAGAGCCAAAAGTTAGGAAACATTGGTAAAGGGGCTAAAATATAAGTGGAACTTAAATAGATTTTATGAGAATTTTGAAGGCATAGGGGGATGCCTGGCTCCGCCCCTGGAAACTACTAGAAGGTATTGCAACCTTGTTTAATTACTATGGTATGTTTGGTACCATTGTAGTTTCTAGCTGAAACCCTGACACATCAGCACCACTTAGGCATTTTGAATTGCAATGGAAATTTTTTATTGGCTTGAGACTGTTTTAACTACAAATTGTCAAAAAACATTTTGTCTGAAAATAACGAGGGGAAGTTGGAGGAAACGTCAAATTGAGGTTTCCCCCAACAGCCATTGCGTCTCACAATGTTTTAGCTGATATGGCACTTACCTGTCATCCAATGTGACATGGTAATGAATTGATACAGTGCATCACGTATCATACAACACTTCAACGTGATCAGTGTTACACCGGAGAAAAATAAGATCTGATGAAATCCTGCATTTGGGAAATTCCTGTCAATTAGATTGGCATAACAGTAATTGGAAGTGTGATTGGTGTTACATAGAATTAAAATGTTTATTTTAAACACTTCAATGTAAAATAGGACATACCAAACACATATCTACTATAAATGCGGCCTAGTCAGCATTGCTGTTGAGACTATAAACATTA